AGGGCCGACATTTAACAGTGCATTTTGGGGTAATAACATCTAATTTCCAGGTTTTGGAAATGGCTCTGGTTAGGTTAAATTGTCAGCACATCTTAAATCCCTGCTATGTTGGTCATTCAAGTATGTACGAGTAACCCAAAGAATCAGTGAATAGGTGACATAAATGTGTTGTGTCTGCAGCTTGCAAAAGAATTCCTGACTTCAAAGAAGGAAATTTTTTACCAATGGAAACAAAGAGAGCTGAGAGAATAGCATATAGATTAAATCTCACAACAAATGCTGTGAACCTCTGTGTGATAGGCCAGCTTGGTTTAGGGGATTCTGTACTAGCCACCAGAAGCATCTGAGCAAAGACTCAAACCAACCAAAGAGTGCAGGAACAAAATTTTGAATTACTTTTGATTTTTATTAAATTTGACTCCGTTTTTTTTCCCCATCACCTCTTCTGAACATTTTTTCTTTATTTCATTTGTATTTCCCAACTAAGGTGTATTTTGCATGTATACATACCTTTTATTCAAACTATTTCCTCAACTTGAGGGCCTTTTTGTCATTTCTTTTATTACACAGTAACTGGTTTTTTTTTTTTCCTTTCATACCTGTTTTTCCTCTAACAATCATTTTTGTGCCATTAGTGGCATAAAAAATCTTAGTAATATGCCTATTGTAGCACATATTTGGGGGGATATTACATTATATATGTATGTGTTTGCCTTTCTTAGCTTTAGTTTATGATCCCCAAACTCAAATAAGTGTCCAGTTGGCAAGTTGTGAATAAAAAAATAAATGTTCTCTAGTTCTTAATCCACAAAAATAATATGTCCAGTTACAAGAAATAACTTTATATTGAGAAATTAATGTTTACTTTTGAATGTTCAATAAGGTTTGACTCATTTCCCATCTGTAAATCCATCTTGSATCTTTTCTATACAAGACACAACACTTATTTAGCAACACTTTATGGGGTACACACTGGAAAAAGAAGAGAGAGAAAGACTTCTCAAAGAAGTTTAATGTTAAAAAAAATGTTGCCAGTATTTTTTCTACATGCATGAGTATCTCAAGATTTTAATTTCTTTTCACTTCAAGGAAACTTGTGATGTATAAACATTTTACAAATCTGGTCTCAAAAAACAATGATTTGAATAATCTGTGTTTTAAMACAAAAATGAATCATCAATTTGCTTAGTTTCTCATATAACATGTTTATTAAACATCTCAGTGTCGAGTTTCTTAAGATTTTAACATTTAACTTTGAGATGGAACTAATACTCTTTTTGGTCTTGGGAATATATTTTGGACTTTCTCATCAACTTTGAGTAAAATGAATGACACTTTCCTTAAATTGTGCTTGGAGCAAAGGCAAAGAAGCATCAGCTCATTTTTTCCAACTAATAAAAAATTTAATGGTGCAGTGTTTATTATAACATTATTTTAATGCTATCATCACAATGTTAAATATTCTTACTTTGCTTCTGTATGGTATTGAAGCTCAATATTATCATTCTTAAACATCTGTAATTTTCACTTGTTTTAAATATAGATACTGAATTTTTAACTTGGATTTTGGAAAAAAAATATATTAAAGATCAGTATTTATCATCCTTTCCCTGTCCCTCAAGCATAAATTTTCAATCTATAGAATTTTCATAAATTTTCAAGTAAGACAACTTGTCCTGGGATATACTGGGAAGTATGATATTGGGAAGTCTCATATTATTAAGTATAGCTTTTCAAGATCACTTTTTAGAAATAAAAAAATTACCTCTGCATCAAAGAGAAAATTAAAAATCATTGAAGTTCTGAAGGAGTATGTGCTTTGATTATTGTTCCCACCTCTTTCTTTTTTCAAATATAAAGTGGCAATTTGTACTATTATTAGAAATATACATTTATATATAAAGTTTTGCATTCAAATCTCTTTATTTTTGATTAACTATGACTAAAGACCACAAATCAAATAAAAACTCTATATAATATATCCTCATTTCAGCATTTGTATATATACACATATCTATTTGTCAAACAATCCACTGTTTTAAAGGTGATTCTGACTTAAAAAATGCTATTTACAATTTTATGACAGAGAAATAACCTCTGCCTTAATGGTATTAAAATGAGCAGGGAATTTTTATATTTGACTGGGTCTTATCTTTTGCAGATGAAACTAAGCAACATCATGAAAAACTTTCTCAAGAGCAAGGCCTTGTAGAGTAAGCCAACAGGGTGGAAGAATAGATATGCTATTTCTGGGTCTATGTTTAAAAAAAAAAAAGATTGATGATGTTGCCAGTCTTCTTCACCAAGAAACCAGTAGTCCCAAACTATAATCTCCAAACTTTTCAATGAATAACAATCCATTCATTCTTTCTCCTTTACTCTTGTCTTAATACTCTCATCTCCCCATAATGGCACCCCAAGATCGCCAATTTAGAAACAATACCTAGTTATTGAGTTGTCATTTTCTTAAAAAGAAGAGTTCTTCTAAAGAAGTTTTCTAGATTGATATGAAGCCTATAAATAATCACATTACAGAGGCTGGGGTTGTAGCTCAGTGGTAGAGCGCTCACCTAGCATGTGTGAGGCACTGGGTTCGATCCTCAGCACCATATAAATAAGTAAATAAAGGTATTGTGTCCATCTACAACTAAAAAATATTTTTAAAAATGAATCACATTACATTACATTGATGTCTCTTTATTGTGCCAATCCATAATGGCTTAAAAATGTTCTATGACTTTCATATATATAATCAAAATCAAAATTATTACTATGATCAAGAATAGGATGGCTTGGGGGTCTTCCAGTTTTCTGGAGCACAAAAGTCTTAAAACTACCAAATGGAACTTCAGAATGACTTATTTATATACTTTGAACTTAATTTTAAAATCAAGTTACATATATTAATCAGAAAGATGTTTTGTAAGACTCTCAAAAGTTTTGTTTTCATTCTCAAGTCTATTGATTTTGAAACATATTACAGTAAGAATTTACAGTAACCATGTCTTAATTTATATCTTACATACACAATTTCAAAGCTTTACTAAAAGCCATACTTTTCCTGGGAATCTCCCAGGGCATTTTTCTAAAAACTTTTTCCACTTGAAGGAGAAGATAGATGAGTTAAAGACCCCAAAATTAGAACAATGAAAAGTCAAAGTAATTAATAATTATATTTGGAATAAAACGGAAAAACAAAGTATTAAAACTGACTCACTTTTTGAAAGAAAAAGACAATTATAGTTTTATATTTCATAATAATTTCAAAACAGTGAATAATGACTGCAATAGGTTTTAATGTACTGTTAAAAAAGCAGCAGTCAAGTAAAGCTTTACCCTGAGCTCTGAACCACCATTTTTCTCAGGTTTATTCTGTAAAAGAAATGAGTTGAAAATAAGCAAAACTAATTTCAAGAACATTTCATTGCAGAGAATATATGCTTAATATGATATGGAGGAAATACAATACTCAGATTGGGTGGTTGGAACTCTGCTTCTTAACTGGTCTCATGAAAGAGACAGATGTGGGTCTGCATGACAAATAATGGGTAGTCACTGTAATCAGAAAAAGGAATGTTGCTGGAGATTCCTATTTCTGTCATAATTTTCATAATTAACTGGATTAAATATATTTTCATGAAATCACCAGTGTAAGTAATTGTGACTTCTGTCCTTTGTGTTACTTGTGAAGCCATTGCATGTGTTACTGATGAGACCATGTGCGTTACTACAGAAGCTCCGGCCGTTTCATGCTAAAAGAGCTTGTGAACCATTTCACTGAAGCCTCTTTTTTATTTTTTCAAAGAAAATAAAGCTTTGTGCTTGGGATTTGTTTGGTCCTGGAAGTGACAGGGGTCTTATGTTGAACCAAGAGTGACAAAGAAGATATACCAGGATATGCATTTTTTTTAAAACAGAGTATTCTTTTCCTAGAAGAGTGACATATCATTTTTTTTCTAAAAATTAAATGCRCTTATTTGTTACTTTCAAGATATTTTGATTAAACAAATATCCTTTGAAAATGTGTATTCAAAATCCTTGCCTAGTAGCATAATGTTTATTCTTTCCAATTGATTAGGCAAATTCCTCCATTTTTTTTTCTGGTAACTTCCTGATAACATAAATAGGATACTTGGTGAAGGACAAGAACCACTATTGAAGAATAATGACCATGTGGAGTGAGGGAAACTACATTGACCTTGAAAGAATACAGCAATCAATGGCAAGGTTGGAAGTGAGGACCTAGAGCTGCAAAGTGTATACATTTTAGGGAGTCATATTTAGAACAAGACATGCTGGACAGTAGAGATATAGGAGAAGTTACATGCTAAGTCTTCTCATTAATAATATCCATAAATCTGCATACATTTTTAAACATTCTGTTTTGTTTTATTTTGTTGAAATTTGGTTGTCTCTACATCATTTCTGATTTGTAGGGCTAAGTAGAACTATTTATTCCAATGCAATTGTACAACTTTCATTTCTTGGCTAATATTTTTGTCTAATACTTTAATTTTTCTAACTGTGTTTGCTTGCTCTTACACTGAGTTCTTTTTCATTCCTTTAAGCCACTCCCAGTTCAGTCCCTTGGAGCCATAGCTGCTAATTCCATAACTGTTTCTCCATGTCACCTGAAAATTCAGTGTACAAATAGTACCCTCTGTCTTCTAAGCTACAGATTTATTGTCAACTGGACTTATAAATGAGGATATATATCAACAAACAGTCCACCAGGTTCATAAGACGGTAAGCTACGAATTCACAGCCTTGCCTCCCATTTTCTCATACAGTTTGGAAAATGCTATATACATAAAACTTCAACAAAGTACAAAGGGGAAATACACTGACCCATTTCCTTGGACTTATTTCTTTATGTGAAACCCATCTCTCTTTCCTGCTGCAAGATATGGTACAAAACTCTCTAAGACAACTAGACATGTACCTCTACTCTCAAAAGTGTCCAAAATGCAAAAAAAAAAAAAAAGAACAAATGTAAAAGTATTAGGAAAAGAATGTTTTCTAAATGACTAAAAAATAAAATAATATCTTGTATTAATAACTTTGATAAAAATATATTCTCTTAGGAGAATTTGAAACTCTTGTTTATAAAGGAATTTATAAGTCAACTAATACCATTAGATTCAATACAAGATTAATCTTTTGCCAAAAAAAAACCAATCTTAATAGGTTCAAGAGTAATTTTTTGAAATTTTCCTTGATGTTAAATAGTTCCTGGCTATACACCTTACAGGCATTAAAAAAAGTGTAATTTACATGTTCAATTCATGGCTAAAAAAATCTTAGAGAAAGTATGTAATTGTGTGTCAATTCTAGATGTCCAAAACAAACAAACAAAAAAAACCAACAACAAACAAAACCACATATCACAGCATTATCAAAAGTTTAAGCCATTTAGAATCTAAGATCAGTTTGTGAGTTCAGTTCTCAAAAACCCTTTCCTTCTAGGTAACTTCTTTTCATCTTTATTGTAGTTATTTATGAAGTAGCCCTCTATTAAGAACAACACAGTTTGATGTTTGTGGAGTCCTGATTTATTTTTCCTTTGCTTTTATGTATGCTAATCTTTGTGCATGTGAATTTTCTACCACATTGCAACAGGCAAGCTTTGGTTCACTTTTCTCATTTTACACAAAGGAAGATTTTGAGTGCAGAATCTTAGCTACTAGGTCCTGCATTGCCATTTTATTTTTCTCTCCTTGGGTGGATTATTGGAAGGACATGGGGAAAGGGAAGGAAAGAGTAAGGGAAGGGATAAGAGAGGGAAGAAGGGAAGAGTTCTCAGCTATGTTGAATCTTGATTCACGACTTTGCCTCCATTCATGGTTGGTGTTCCAGAACTTTTCCTCGAACGTCCTTGTTTTTCTCCAATTTCGTGTAGTGATGGTTCTCTGTACATACACACTGGAAAGCAAAATGACAATAATTACTTATGATAATGAACATCAATTTTGCTTCAATAAAATTCACAAATATTTACTTTAGGATATTCTTCACTTAATCACTGATTTTCCTCCCCATTGTGAAAGGGTTTTAGTTTGATGTATAGTGGCTATCCCTGGTTTTCTTCCAGTTCTATAAGTCATAACCCTTTAAGCCTTCTTATATTGCATTATGTAGGTTCTTTCAGTTTTCTAGTAGATAAGGTTGGAGTCTTTACAGCCTCCTAACTTATATAATAGGATTTCTATCCAGAGTTAGGGGAGAAATTGGAGGTAGAGCATTTGAAGTTAGAAGTAGCATTTTGCTTTTTTGGTCCATTTTCTGCAATTTAGTTTGGGAAGGGAAAAATATTTACTGACATGCTCCTAACCTTAACCTAACCACTGTAAGAATCATGACATTGTTGTGTCAAACTGAACTTTTAGTTCCAAATTTCAGGACATACTATAAGAAATGATAATGGAGAGGAGAGAGAAGAGGAAAGAACATGAATCAATTTCCCTGATTACCCCAGATTTTCTTTGTCTAAATTAAGGGACACAGCCCATGATTTTTTAGTTATTCATCAATAGGGAATGTGATTATGCAACCATGAGATTTCATTTTGCGTCTATTTAATGGTCCTTTTCTCCTCTCTGCTTTCTCTAACTCTAAAGCCCAGTCTGCAAACTAGCATGTCTGTTGTGAGATTACTGCAACAGAACAATGTTTTCCAATTTATAGTTATTCTCCTAAGATAAGATCAATCAGCATGTTGAATTCATTTTTGCTTCATTAGACTGTTGCGAGTTAGACAAAACTGACTGTATAAGACATATTTCACTGACGTATCAGGAATTATTATTTCATCCTTCATTTTGGAAAACCAGCTAAGCATCTACATTTATTCAAGCATAACTCAATGGCTTAATAATGTGGATGCTATTTCCCACATAACATAGTTTCCTCCCTTGGGCTTGAAAGGTTAAGAGTACAAGTTTGGAAGTCATACTACCTGGATCCACATCTTTTATTAAGCCACTTTCTTGCTCTCTGCTCAATAAATCAAATAGGTATTTGAATTGCTGTATTCTTCCTTAGGAAAAATATTGGATGCTTAGATAAAGCAAACTAAGGTCATTCTAGGAATCGTATGCAAATACAAAAAAAKAAAGAAAAGAAAGAAAAGGAGAGAAAGAGAACAAGATCTTTATCAAACTTACAGATTAAATTTAATTTTTTTATGCTTTAACTTTCATTCTTGTTTACAGCTCTGGAATTCAATAATATATCTAAGTTAAGAAGGGGTATGAACCTCAATAAAATTTTAGAACTAAAACATAATCAAAATAGCATAATTCATTTAAAATGCAAAAAAGAAAGGAAAAAGCATTTTTTTGTAATACAACTGCCATTGATAGCTGTATCAATTCTGAATTGCACAAAATAAATGCCAACAACAGGAGAAAAACGATGATAAGTGTTCGATAAAGTTCATTGTAAGTCCAAACTGTAAACCCAAACCTCTGTAACGAAAATAACAACCATGATGATGATCCCTTGAAAGATCCATCATTTTGAAGTATTCAAAGACATTTAAAATTGATTAAGTCATTTGATAATAATAATAGACCTGTAAATATTGTAGGTAAGAAATTATCATCTTTATTTTTTTCAAACATAAAAGAACCTAAATGACTTCCCTAAAGCTAGATTGCGATCAGGCAGAGAGAGGATAAGAATGCAGGGTTTCAAAGACCAGTAAGCCAGTAAAGCTGTAATTCATCAAATAAAGTACAAATGACTGCTTTATATTAGTTTAAAAATTTCAACCATATATTAATCAGTATGTGAGCTGGCCTTACCTTTACTAAATATTTTAATGTCATCAAGCAATGATAACAATAAAAACTAGTACAGCATGGCTTTTATCAAAGAAAGAAAGAAAGAGTGAGCAAGTATGTGGAGAAGCTGAAATCCATGTGGATTGCCCATGTGGCATCTTTACTTGGACTTCTTAATAATTTCTTTTGTCACACTATTACAGACAGTGAAATCCACTTTTCTACTCTTCCCCATTTTAATATATAGCATCTGGTTGTTCTTGCCCAAAACTTAAGTGTCATCACTGTCTTCTCTCTTTACCTAACAACCTACACTCTATCCCTTAGTATGCTCCATCTGCTCTGACTTCTAAATAAATCCAAAGTCATTCTTTCTACCTGCGGCTATAAAGCCCTCAAGGAGAAGCTAGCATCATCTTGTCTAAGATCCTGGACAGTTTCCTTGCAATCTTGCTTCAAATCTGTAATGACTTCCAAACACATTAGCCACAATATCCAAAGTCCTCAAGGAGGCTATCAGGTCTTATTTTATCTGGTTCCTGCCTCTACATCTTCTGCCCTTCCCCATTTAATCAATCCATTCCAGTCATATGACCCTTCTTGCTCACAAGTGACAAGCTTGGATTACATCAGGGTCTTTGGAAACAATTTTGCCTGGAAACTTCTCTCACATCTTTTCATGGTTTACTATTAAATTTCATTGAGATTCCATTAAAATGTAATTAATCTGTGTCATATTTCCTGAGAGGTTTACCTTGACCTCCCTATGTAAAACTGCCACACTTTCCCCCCTTAAATCTAATATCTAATCGTGTGTTTAAATATTTGCTCCTCTATTTATTGTTCATTTATGTATTTACCGATTTATGCCTTTCTAGATATAAATGCCATGAAATAAACCCACAAATAAAAAACCTTTCTCTTAAGTACCACAGCATCCCTATTAGTTAGAACTGTGAAGGATGCTCAGTGAGTGTTCTGTGATTATTTTGCAAAGGAATACCCTTATCTACTATCTTCGGTGCCTCACTACAGAAGATGGTAGCTGGAGTAAAGCTTAACTTTCTTTCACTTTTAATGTCAGTGAATCTTTACTTTCTCTAAAGTTCTAAACTTGGGCTGACTTCACTAAACTGTACCAGTATATAGGTAGAACAGGTGGTTTTGAAAGAATACAGCAATGAACATCATGTGTTAATCTACATTTATCTAGCTTCTCTAGTTTATTGATATCTGGGTAAACAAGTAATATGTCTCATCTTCATAGAAATAAAAAAATCAATGGCAAATAAAATAAAACAGGAAAATTAACAACATCTCTTTCTTTCCCCATATGACCTATGGTAAATTGTAGCCTAGAAAACAAAGGGGAGTCTGAGAATCATAGCATCTAATGATTCCATAACTCAGTGTTTCTCAAAGTGTGTCCACTGACCTGCCAGCAGCAAGAGCAGTACCTACAACTTTAAGAACTTTAAATTACTGGACCAGCCCGGATATATAGAATTAAAAACTCAGAGGATGAAGTCCAGAAATTTATGCTTAAACAAGCCCTGCATGTGATTCTGGTTCACATTCAACTTATAGAGCTGCTTTCTTTAATGCTTATATGAAAATCACTTCTATTACTCTCTAAAAAACTACATATTTGTCCATATGTCTTGCCTCTGCAGATCCTAATTTACAACAAGAACACACACAACAACTGATAAAGAAGCACAATGAATAACTCTATATAATGACAAAGCCTATTCTCTTACACACACACACACACACACACACACACACACACACACACACTTTACATTCTTGTTAGAAAAAGCAGGAGGTCTAAAGTTAAAAGGCAACAGTTCTGGCCATAGCTTTGCCTCCTTCTAGCCCTAAGGACTTCAGTGAGTTATTTAACCTCTCTTAAGTTTAGATTCCTTATGTTTTAAATAGGAACAATAGGGCTGGGGATATGGCACAGAGTGTGTGCCTCACATGCACAAGGTCCTGGGTTCAATCTCTAGCAACAGAAAAAAATAAGTAAAATAAAAATAGGAAGAATAAATATTAATCTGCATATTTGAATGATTTTGGCGACTCTCAAGTGACAATCCGATTAGGGAAACAGGTTGAAAATAACAATGTGCTATGTGAATGGAATTTAAAGTAGTAGAGCTGCTACTAATTATTACTTCTACGTGACTGCTGAATTCTTGACAGATTATTTGAAAGCAAAGTCCCGGATAGAACTAGGTATAAATCTTTGTAAGTCCCTGTTTCTCTGTAGAGAGAGTTGGACCACCTGTGGGCTGGGCCATTGCCATTGTTGCTGTCAGGTTCTATTTTTCTAATGGAATCAATATAATTTCTGTCTTGGATGAAACTTAGAAATTATGCACTCGAAGAAACTTCATCCTCTATCAGTTTCCATGAAAAAAATGGAATATGATTAATTTTTTTATTACTACCAATTTAATCAAATTTTCCTTGGCCCTCTGTAATTTCCCAGAAATGGAAAGGTTAGATTGCTGTTACTTAATGCACCATTAAAGATATTTAATTGTCTTAATAGCAGATCATAGAAGGGCGTGGGCAATTAACATGAAGCAATTTCACGCCTTAATTAATGTCACAAGGAATCCCTTTGGAACTGTAGGAGAATTTTAGTGCTGCTTTGGAAGCAATACACCATAAGAATGTACCCAGTATGGCATAAATATTTATTACAAAGAGTTAACAGACATTGTAAACAAAAAGATCCCTATCTTAATTTAGAAAGAGAGCAGAAACAATATTTGGTGTAGAAGAGGGAGAGGAAGGAGAGTTTTATTAAAGACTAAATTTAGAAATCAGCAAAAGTTGCTTTGAATGAGTTGAAATGGTGTTCAGGAAGAAGGTATCATAGGCCAGCAGAAATCCAGAATTAAAAGATGGAGAGAGCTAAAGCTAATGTTTTCTCTGTCACTAAAGGGATCAGCATTATTTGAGGTCCTGCTTTGCAATTTCTGTTTTTCTTTTTTAGAATAGCTGGTTCCAAAAGAAAATTTGGAGACAACTACTGAGTTCTCATCCTAGATAATTAAAATAAAAATATCAAAATAAAATTGCCATTATTGTCTTCCCAATTGGGGCTTTACAACATAATGACTC